CTCTCTCTCTCTCTCTCTCTCTCTCTCTCTCTCTCTCTCTCTCTCTCTCTCTTCCCCTTACTCTACGTCTATATACCGTTACAGTATGTACGTGGACCCTACCAAGCTTACGGACGAGGTGAAGGAACACCTGAAGATGAATAACTGCAAGGGTGGCGCCACCTGTGTGCAACAGCGGCCCTACGAGAAGGTGTTTGATGACGTAGCCGACTTCAGCGCAGCCCACGACATCGTCATCATCAGCGCCGGGTCGAGTTACGCCATCTACAGTGAAGTACCAAAAGTACGTGGGAATTTATTGTAATGCAGTGTATATTTAATGTAACTATACCTCATAAGTTTATATCTAACAATGAGTATCGTTAGAGGAAACTATTACAGAATCCGGTAGAAATTTTAACAGCGCAGCAGAGCTATGGTCAGTAACACGGTGACATGTATTACATTTGATTACATATATATATATATATATATATACATATATATACACACACACATATATATATATACACATATATATATATATATATATATACATATATACATATTATTATACATATACATTAACGAATCTATCACATCATGTCTTGCAGATGAAGCGGCTCATCAGCCAATCACCAATCGTCATGCGGAAGGCACAGAAGAACGACGTCGAGATAAAGAACTACAAGAACTGCCAGGTGAGTCGTACGTTCGCGAAGGACGCGAGTGAACGACGTGAAGGGAGAGGAACTCAGACGTTACGATGAAGAATGAGATGGGAACTGACACGTGGATGGGAGACACCCAGCAAGGAGATTGACGTAGCGATGGCAACTGATCGATTCTGTGCAATACTGACACTGTGAAGCTGTTTGCCAAGTTGCTATGAAGCTGTCTATCCGGTTGCTAGGACACTGTTTACACTGTCGCTATGGCCCTTTTCCTACTGTTGTGTAACCTGTTGCTGTGATACTGTTTAGTCTGTTGTTATGACGTTGTTCGTTTCATTCTTATGAGGCTGCTAAATCCTGTTGCCTTGACAATTTCCACACCGTTGCAACGATGGTATGTGCGGCACGTCTATTAAGATGTTTATCTGTGTTTTTTTACCGTTGTTATAATGCTCCTCATCGCCTTGCTATAGAGTTGATTATCCCATTGCTATGGAGTTGTCTGTCTCGTTGCTATGGAGGTGTTTATCCTGTTGCTATGGAACTGTTTATCCCGTTTCAATGGACATGTTTATCCCGTTGCCATGCAGATTAGGGACTCGGCGGCGCTCGCCATCTTCCTGGAGATGCTTGAATCAGATCTGAAGAGCGGAAGTCGCACGTGGAACGAGATGTCTGCTCAGGAGAAGCTGGCCGAGATTCGCAGGTAGGTGGCGCCACCTGTTACCGTCACTACGGTCTGCTCCGGTTGCCAACCGATTTAAGCAGCAAGTTGATGGAAAAGTAGAAAGTGGAACCCCAATTTTACGCGGCCCGATTTAACGCGAATTCGGATATAACATGATGAGTTATTGGACCCCTTTTTTTTGCTCTTATATAGCCACGTATATATATAACCCTGATTTAGCGCGACCCCGCTTTTTTCGCCATAACATTTTATGGACCCCAACCGTCGCGTTATAACGGGGCTACAAGGGCGGATCCAGGATTTTTGGAAGGGGAGGTGTCCAGGAAGAAATATAGGGCACTATTTGCTACTTAATTTTTCTGGTGTTTTAAAAAGCCACCGAAGGCCACTTAGAGGGGGGGGGACCTCCCTCAAGAAAACCTTAAAAAATTGGTGCATTCTGAGAGCATCTGAGCAGTAATTTTGATGTCTAGAATGCAAAAATTTATGAGATCCGGTCCCCCGATGCCCCGGGGACCCCTCTTTGCCCATGTCTAGGTTTTTATAACGAATTTATATAAGTAAATCTCTATTAGAAAAACAAGCCCTAAAAATTGGGATGAAATTTTGTAGGGCACTTTGAAATTAAAGGGGTAGGGGTCCGAACCCCCTCCCCCCTCTTAGATCCGCCCATGGGCTACAAAGTAGAAGGTGCAACTAAAAGGTAGTGAGATTCGGGGCAGCTAAGAACAGCCGCACTGTCTTCATCTCTCAGAAATTATTGACTTTCATGCATTCGCGGCTGCTCGACGAGCAAGTCATCTTTATTGTATTAATTGTATAAGTTGTATCAGTATTGTATAAGTTATTGTCTTAATTTATGCAGTTCATCTAGCGAATCTATGAGTTATCCACCTTCTTACATATTGATCTATTTTACATGCAGACCTGGCATGAGATCTGGAATTGTATCTCACAGCATCCGTGTGCTCACTAAACGTCAGCACGCGAGATTTCACGAGCACTCCATGTATTTCTTACGTGCATCCTCATTCAGATTCCAGAAAAAAATATGAGAAGAGCGTCCTTGCAAAAAACTGGCCCAGGAAAGTTCATGTTACCCTGTACGAAGTCAGCCTCTAGGATAACGTGACAGGACCGACCGAGGACCTCTTGCATGAATGAAATCCTGTATGAATTCAGGTTTCAGGAAAACTAACCCGCATACGATTTTCTCATCCCTATATTTTTACGCTAAGCAGCAGCAGACTACCACAGGAAAATTCCCATGCAATTAATTCAGATTAATTCATAATTTTAGATTTCAGGAAAACGAGACCCGGATGATTCCCTCATCCATATATTTTCACCTTCCTTCGTTTAGCCAACAGCAGATCGCCACAGGAGAAACCCCTCTACCCGAACTCGAATTCACATCCCGGGATGACAAACCGGGATGATTCCTGCATTTCCGGGATGCTTCCGTGATGCTTTTTGTGATCCAGGGTGATCCCCGTATTCCTGCATGTATTTTCACGCGCATTCCTTTAGCCAGCAGCAGATCGCCAAAGAAGAATTCCCGTAGCCGACCTCTAATTCAAATCCCGGAACGCATCCCACCTTGAATTCCGATCCCGGGATGAGAAACCGGGATAATTCCTGCATGCCCGTATACTCACGCTCGTTCCTTCAGCCAGCAGGAGAATTCCCAGATCCCGCTTCTAATGCAGATCCGGGGACGACAAACCGGAAAGACAAACCGGGATGATTCCTGCATGCCCGTATACTCACGCTCGTTGCTTCACTCGGCAGCAGACCGCTACAGGAGAATCCTCTATCCCGCTTCGAATTAAGATCCGGGGATAATTCCTGCGTGCCCCGTATACTCACGCTCCTTCCGTCCGCCAGGAGGAGAATTCCCGCATTCCGCTTCGAATTCAGATCCGGGAACGACAAACAGGGACGACAAACCAGGATAACAAACCTGGTTTCCTATCCTGGTTGGTTCCAAATCCTGGATAATTCCTGGTTGATACTCACGATCGTTGCTTCAGTCAGCAGGAGAACGCGCTCGGCGAAAGCTTCGCCGCCATCTCTGCGTCCGGTCCCAACGGCGCCATTGTCCACTACGAGTCGGCGGCGGTCACCAACCGCAACCTCACCACGCGGGAAATGTACCTGCTGGACGCGGGCGGCCAATACTGGTAAACACCAGCGCAGCACCATGGTGACTGGAAACCTCCCACGATCTATGTAGCAGCGGCCCTGGTGACAGGAGACACCCCAACGCCCTGATGTCAGGGGCGTGTACAGGATTTGTAGCAGGGGGGGGGGGATCTAGCCGTAACCCAAAGTTGCGAGCACGCGAAGAATTTAGACCCCCTCAGATGCGTTTTCTGCGCAAGCAGAGGGGAGGGGGGTCTGGACCCCCTGGACCCCCCCCTGTACACGCCCCTGGATGTAGCTGTGACAGGACCCCCCCCCCGACACCACCCTGTGTAGCTGTGAGAGAAACATTCCCCACTCTCATGTAGCATTCGTGATGTTGTTGGGTTGTGTGTATGTGTGTGTGTGTGTACCCGCGCCTGTTGCAGATGTAACCCCCCCCCCCTGTGCACTCGCTGTGACCTCACAGTGACCTCACGATAATCGCACCGCGATGTCACAGTGACCTCACCGTGACCTCGCCGTCACGTAAGCCGCCCCCTCCCCCGGGTGACGGTACCACTCGTGTTGTTTATCCGTCGTCGTCTATAGTCGCTCTCAACGTCCGCGTGTCGCGCGTTTTGCCCGCCAGGGGGCAGCTGAACAACAGAGGCCTGAGCTTCGGGACGATATCGGCGTCGGGCGCGAACGGAGCCGTGATCCACTACACGTCGCAGCCGTCGACGAACCGCACGCTGACGACGTCCGAGATGTACCTGCTCGACTCCGGCGGACAGTACCTGTAGGTGGCAGCACGTGCAGAGGAGCGAGCGGTGCCGTCTACGCATGAGGCGGGCGATCGTGTTAACTGCTCTTATTGGCTAATATAACACTGATGGACGTAATAATTAATATTAATTAATACGGACTACTTGGTGTAGAAGCAAGAGAGACTGTAATGCTAGCTTCTAACATTGACTGCTGTCACACTAACAGCTGTAAGACTGACTATTCTGTGAGCTAGCATGGGAGACTGCCATACTAACGCTGAAGGGGTCGTTGTCGTATCAGGTACTACATATATGTACCCGAGGTATATGTATGTATACACAAAGTGTACCAGACTTGTACTACAGAAGTGTACCCTAACCCTAACCCTAACCCTATAACCATACCTCATATAAAAATATAAACATAATACTAAACAACCTAAAACTACCTCGGGTACATATATCAGGAGTGGATAATAGGACTCCTATTATCTACTCCTGATATATGTAGTACCTAATACGACAACGACCCTTCGTGCCATACTAACTGCTAGCATTGACTTCTATAACTCGGACTGCTGATATTTACTGTTAATATTAACCACCGTGACGGTCACCACTCTGTAAGCGGTCATGAGCGGGAAAACTTTATGTCAACTATTCTCACATACCGCTGTTGCTAACACACGTTGACAGCTGAGCAACTGTTTCTAACACGCGTTGACAGCTGAGCAACTGTTGCTAACACGCGTTGACAGCTGAGCAACTGTTGCTAACACGCGTTAATATCTGAGCAATTGTTGCTAACACGCGTTGACAGCTGAGCAACTGTTGCTAACACGCGTTGACAGCTGAGCAACTGTTGCTAACACGCGTTGACAGCTGAGCAACTGTTGCTAACACACGTTAATATCTGAGCAACTGTTGCTAACACACGTTAATATCTGAGCAATTGTTGCTAACACGCGTTGACGCGTGTTAGCAACAGTTGCTCAGCTGTTTGACAGCTGAGCAACTGTTGCTAACACGCGTTGACAGCTGAGCAACTGTTGCTAACACGCGTTGCGCGTGTTAGCAACAGTTGCTCAGCTGTTTGACAGCTGAGCAACTGTTGCTAACACGCGTTGGGGGCTGAACAACTGTTGCTAACACGCGTTGACAGCTGAGCAACTGTTGCTAACACACGTTAATATCTGAGCAATTGTTGCTAACACGCGTTGACAGCTGAGGAACTGTTGCTAACACGCGTTGACAGCTGAGCAATTGTTGCTAACACGCGTTGACAGCTGAGCAACTGTTGCTAACACGCGTTGACAGCTGAGCAACTGTTGCTAACACACGTTAACATCTGAGCAACTGTTGCTAACACGCGTTGGGGGCTGAACAACTGTTGCTAACACGCGTTGACAGCTGAGCAACTGTTGCTAACACGCGTTGACAGCTGAGCAACTGTTGCTAACACGCGTTAACAGCTGAGCAACTGTTGCTAACACGCGTTGACAGCTGAGAAAAACTGTTGCTAACACGCGTTGACAGCTGAGCAACTGTTGCTAACACGCGTTGACAGCTG